CATATGTGTTTCGCAGCTTGTCATGTACACCTCGATGTTGATTGGCTCTTGTTGATCCGCCAAAGACATTGGTTTGCTCGAGTGTTTCGTATATTCATGTAAAGGAATATATTCATCTGTTTTGTTCAACATTTTGTGTGCCACTGTCTTCTGTGGTGAGGAGTATATCTGGCAAAGTAGTCATATTTTTCGTCATAAGTAATTGCAGAGTACTTTTATGGTTTAATACTGTTAATACCAGTTGTATGTAAGCTCTCTTGACTTATGGGTGTCGTAGTACTCACCTACTTGACTTGATTATTTTTTATAAACAAAGGTATAGGAGTCATAGGAATTAGTCTCTGAGATCTGCAAGTTGGCCTTTAACCAGTCCAATACGGTTCTCGCTTTGCCTCAGCTGTTTCTATACATCACTTTGAAGATTTTGCAAGACTTTTCAGTCACACTTCTAGATGAGAATTATGATTGGCACTTTAGTCACAAGACATCGAAAATTGATTTATCAAAAAAGCAAAAATAGTAGCACATTGTCTATACATAACCTCAAATTTTACAAAATACAGGGTTTGTTGGTGATTGCGTAAAATACCGAAGATGATTGTCTGGTAAATATTGTGAAAGATGATGAAAAGTTTCGATACTAAAAATGTATCCATATTTCTCTTGGTTTATTTGTTATTCAAGTTGTTCACTGGAAATAGTATATATCGTATAATTTGAATGTATGACGCCTACTCCTAGCAACCTTTCATACATTTTGGCATGCTTCAGATGTTTGACTGGCGTTCTTGATATAACATCGGTTTGCGCCAAATGCACTTCGTCCTTATTTTCCACCAATTCATGTGAAGTTTCTAATGACTTTTTCAGATTCACGTTACAGCATGTTGTAACTTGCTATATTGCTATTCATGCGTTGACTTTATAACATTTATCATTCAAACTGTGGTTTACATTATGTTATTACAATATACTGTCACCCAAAACCAGCCTATATTTTGTTTTTATTCATACACATAGTAGTAGGTTTGTGTCGTGTTCATCTAACCTCAAAGTAATCGAAAGAAGCAAAAGTTAGGCGACTTGTGCAAATTACTGAGCATACAATTAACAGTGCTCTTCAGTACACACAATTCACCGTTAAAGAACTACTGATGGATCGTAACGCTATAATTTGTTTGAAAGGCTACTAAACTCAGATACATTAAAAAACCAAGAGACTGTTTGCTGGAACCTCCATTCAAAGTTTGATCTCGTTTCTGCGTTATATCTCGTACGATTGTTGGCGTCTTTAGCCATAATTTGATGAAGTCGAACCATCTAGAAAATATTAAAACGGTCGATTAAATAATAAACGCTACTTATAAAACGTCTTTAGCCAAAATGTAATTTAAACCTGAAAATCCATTGATATAGTAATCATCAAATAAACAAATCCGGTAACTAATACTAATGGGGCTCTCACAAAGGTTTAGATTTTCTCTCAAAAGCATGGCAAATGTATAAATCGCAACATTTTTTATGTGCATTATGTGTTTGATAGTCTCTGATCACACTCAGTTTCCTAACAAACCGAAGTAGCAGTCGTTTGGTTTATCACTGACAGTGACTCCTTCATGTAATTCCCTTGTGTATGACTTCCCATCATTTACTTATCATTTTCGCTGTGTAAGTTCTTGTGTCAAAAGCAAGCTGCTCCATAAATAAGTACACTATGCTTATACAAGAAATAAAATCTTACCCGACAGCTTATTTAATGAATCTATATAATATACTGTAAACCTCGGGTTACTGGAAAATATCAAATTAATGTCTCCATTAGCTATACATTGGTTACCTAAGGTCACTACAAGCATAAGAGGCAAGTTAACACTCTTCATTGGTAAATCCATGTATTGGATAACATGAGATAGGTTAGCCACATCAGTGGGTACAGCTGCTGAGGCAACGGTATCCGTTGTAATCTCGACAGCGTTGTTTTCGTTTGAGGGACACTTTTGCGTAAGTCTTTGATTGGTCGTTTTATCTGAGACTATACGAACGCTCCTAAACTTCTTAAGTGTGTAGATTAGCCGTTCGGATTCTTTCAAGTGTTCAGCTAATAAATGGGAATCGAATCTAAACACGATAGGACACGAGTACTACTGATGCCTTTTATTAAGACGAATGTATTGGGATGGACTATCTTGGACGTTAGCTGCCTTTAATATTGAATTCCTTACGGATTTAATGGCGATTTTGTCAGATATGTTATGGATAATCACTTTATTCAGAGGGATCATTCGTTTAGTAACTTCGCCAGTGATAAAATCGATAATAGGTTCTACTTTGATAATGTCTTCAAGTTCTACCGAACCATATCCTTCGCCAACAGCAGTTTAAGGGGTGATAGTTTCTTTATTTCTTGCTTACGATCATCATGCTTTGATAAAGAGCTCGCAAGCAACTCCACCTTAGGACGCATATAGCTTGACTGCTTATAGGTATTGTCTAGTTCACTCTTAATATTATTGATGTAGAACTCATTATTAAATTAGAGACTGAATCATCCAGAAGCAGGTATGGTGTAATTCAACTTCCAACATTGTCTGATCCAAAAAGAGTCACAAAGCATGGGGTATAGGTAATAGCAGAGTTGGTATTCTCTGAAGGATTAGGGCTTTTCTGGGCTCGTTTTTTTGACAGTCGACTCAGTTCGTTGTGTTAAGTCTAATGCTATTTATGAGTTATACAATAGGGTTCAACGATATTTCAACGCTTTGTATTAGATACCGTGTTATCGTAACGCAAGGTCCAAACGTAGAGAGATAATGTGGCTTCCACTTAAAATCTTGTACGCTGGATATTCATATAATGACAGGTCTGCAATGGTAGAACAAGTATACTAAAATGCCGTATCCAAGAATTTATAATAATAATCTGTAATAAGTACTAACAAAATTTATCATAAACAATTCAATCGGCTTTCTTGATTTGGATACTTTAGATGTGATATGCTCGGAAAGTCTAAACTGTTACTATACATTCACTCGAATGGTGAGGAGTTTTAGTACGTGTTTGTGTAGAACCAGATTTAGCTTAGTCTTCTGCCAATGTGAATGAATCCACCCTTACCAACACTCACCGATAGATTCTACGACACAGTCCATTCGTATAACTTGTGCGTGTCTTCTAGGGTTGCCGCTGAAATATCGTTTTCTTTGAAAGGTGACGAGAGTGAATAAACCACTTTCAGGTCATCGGCAAAAAGGGAAGTTTCACTGTACTGAAATAGTGAACGCACGTCGTTAATAAGTAGGAGAAAGAGTAATGGGCTAAGCACACTTCCTTCCATAATCTCACTGGCGTTGTTTATAGGCTTAGAGTAGCAAGATCCATATGGACGATTTGGCTACTTTTTTTAATGAAAGATTTGCACCAGAATACAATAGAATCCCATAGGTCAAATGACGAAAGTTTTAAAAGAAGTTCGTATGAGACGCAGGCAGCAAACATATAACACTTGATGGAAGACTTGGGAGCATTCACGTACTTAGTTAGCATCATTGATGAACAACGAAGACCTAGTGAGAACGTGAAGGCACGAATTGGCAAAATAAGGACAGCATCCCTACAATTGAAGAATATCTGGGACTCAAAACAACTGTCGCACAACATCAAAGACAGAATTTCAAACACCAACATCAAGACAGTGTTATTGTGCAGAGCTGAAACTTGGAGGACTTCCACGATCATCAACAGGAAATTAAGGGTATCTATAAACAACCGTATATGCAAGTTACTCTGTATCAAGTGGACAGACGCCATCAGCAACACCTGACTGTAGTAGAGAGAAAACCAGCTGCCTGTAGGGATTAGGAGATGCTGGGTGGTGGTTAGGGCACAATTCACAAAATGATCTGATCGTGTTATAAAATCAGCAGTAAATTGGAATCAACAACGGAAAGGAGAATGGGACTAACTAAAGATCACATGACGCCGGCGCCTGGATGCACTTGGTGATTACTGGGAACGAAAACTGAGGACAGACTTGGCTGGAGATTTTCGGTCGGTGAACTATTCCGCAGGGGAGCTTATATGCTTACATTTCTGAAATATAATTATTTTTACGAATGTATGTGATGCCTCAACAAGTTGATCACGAAAACTAAGTGTTTGAAATATTCTGCCCTCAACTATAGAAGTTCGATGGAGGGTTTCAAACAGAAGATTATTTAAACATTCCCACTTACTTTGGTTATCATCGTTAAAGGATTATAGCCCCTATGAAGTGGTACCGAATGTCGAATAACCAACAAAACACAGCTTGATGAAAATACGTCGACTCAAAGTTCTGTAGTCCTTTCTCAGTAAGGAATCAGCTCCTTATAAACCTGGATTTCCAGTGATATTCATTTTAAAGCAAACCTGCCATTTTACGAAGAAAAGACACAAAAAATTAATGTAGTGGGTCCACTAGTGTTTCAGAAACTTCTTGCATAACTACAATTATTTTTCATGATGGCTGTCTTATGACACTGGCATCGTACCTAAACTTACGTTGACATATGACCATGCTAGATTCTCTCGCAGTATAAGAGACAGACAAATGACCATTTAGTTGTAACGGTTTGCGTCTAACCAGAAGGTACTTCGTGCACTAGGGGAGTATGTAAAGCAGCGTGAGTGATTAAGTCTAGAAAAAAGAACGAAAAGAAAGGTGAGTCGATGACCCAGCAAATTTACACAATGTATAAAGGCGTCAGATAAAGACAACCTTGAAATAGGAACTAGGAGCATGGAGTTCAACCCGCTACATTAATACCTTATAATATTATACACAATCCCCACGCAAAAACACTCTTAAACCGACTTTAGGACCAAAAAACGTAGGCGTTGATCTAAATGAAGTTACGAAAAATATTCCTGATCATCAATTATAAGCTCCTTATATTGCCCTCATAACCTTCTTAGATAATTTGTTTTCTTGTCCTACGACTTTACATTTCACCTCGAAGGCTTTTGGCGCCACTGTGTCAAACATGTCTTCAGGTTTCCAAGGTAAGTCTATGTCCTGACGTCTTAGCTCTCCAGGAAAATGTCGGAAGTTATATATCGGTGGTTTAGTAGAAAATGTCCTCAAAGACGACTTAGTCCGCGAGTTGTCTAAGTGTGGTGAAGTAGTTGATGTGTGGGTTGCCAGAAACCCACCAGGATTCGCGTTCGCTGAATATGTAAAGTCATCGGATGCCGAGAAAGCAGTAAGATCTCTTAATGGTATCAACGTTTGTGGCTCAAGAATCAGAGTCGAGTTCGCGCACGGTGGTCGTACTAAAAGCGGTAAGCACTGTTTTAAACGTATTCGAAAGATGGACTACGAATTACTTGTACAACGTAACACGGCTTCGTCTTCATTTAAATTCAGCTATCGGGTCAGCTTTTCATGGTGGTCGGTCAAGTGGCAGGGGCTCATTTAGGCGTCGAAGTTCTCCTCGTCACAGTAATAGGGATTCGTCATACAACGGTCACCGTCATGCTGATTACGATCAATTTTCTTCCTTTCACTCTTCAGAAATAGCCAGCGCTGTTACTGCGTCGGGCTACCCCTACGGGGTATCAGGCTATCAGTCCGTGCTGCCATTTCTCCCATCTACGGAATTCATACGATCCCTACAAAGTCAGTCACGTCGTCGGTCATCTCCTGGGAGAATCCAGTTTCCAGTGAACCAAAGAGGACATTCTCCAATATCACGACGAAGGTAATAATTTCTGCCAGTGCTCACTTTCTTAGTTCTAACTCCTACTACACTATCCATCTGGAAATTTTGATATATTTATGTTGTCTCTCATCACTAATAGACTACTGTATCTATCAATTTACGCTAATATGAAAGGTTCGTGAGCAAAATTTTTCAAACTCGAAGTATGGGTTTAAAGAGTGATCGCGATAATGATAAGGGGAATATCGTCACATCGTGGGACTTAAATTATCGACGTTTAACTCGAAGCTTCTGTTCTTTGCTAGTGTGGAAGTTATTCGTCTGAAGAATCTTAAGCATTCATACCATAATTACCTGACATCGAGGCCTTATGCTTATAACTTAGAATACTACCTGATTACCATACTTCAGCCAATATGAATCTAACAGTGGATGCTACACATATTCTTCGATAAATCACCTAGATTTCAGAAGTTATTCTCAGTATTTAAGTCTGCGTACGTAAACATTTACTTCAAACTCAAAAATTGGAAACTTTTACTTGAAATTAAGTTTCTTCGTTACTTTATACCAACTGTCTAACGCGCTGCCACAGTCTCTACGATGCTTATTTTTGGTTTCTTTCAGGAGTCGAAGTCCACTAGGTGTTCCAGTGGGAAGACCACGAGGTCGAAGCCCGTTGGAATATAACGGTAGGAGTATGAGTCGCCACCTCGACATGCGCGGCCGTGGAGGCTACAGTGACTTTTCACGCTCTCGAATACCCAGGGGGCCTCGCACAACCTATTCACCGCCTTTCGTTAGAGAAATAAATGGTAGACATGATGAATCACGTGGACGAAGGGGTCGAGACGATCGTCGCCGACGTTGAAAAATGCTACTGGATTCCAAGACAAAACATTTCATAAATTTATATTCAAATGATATGAAGCTAAATGCATTTAGTTTTTATCCATCTAGTTTTCAAAGATTTCTTAATTGTCATAGGCTTGCCTACATGTCATCGACGTAATTGAACGAAAAATTTGTTCATTCCCATTTCCTTCCTGTATTGTATTACCAGCTGGTGGGCTCGTTATATTAAATAATAACCATTTTTACGGATAGATGAAAGTGAAAGAACAAATTACTGCATCGAAACATCTAGTTAGTCTTCTCATTCATTCATGTTTGCATTCATCGTGTTGATCTGTCAGTAGATAGTCGTAACTATTTGGTATCTATTTGTCAGTGTTGATACTCATCATTATTTATGGTGCTTTGGTACTTCAGTTCACAGTGCATTTCTCCAACATGACCTCACCTCGAAATTCAACCCATCCTATTGCTTTTCAATTTAGTGGTTTTTACATAATATCCAAATTGTTAGATAACATCTGGAAGTAAATTACTGGAAATACCAATTTTTCTTATCACTCATTAGTTTCATATCTAATGAGAAGATCGGTTCTGCGTACAGCAAATTCAACAGACTACTTTTATGTGATTGAAAGTTCATTGATCTATAGGCCATTGTAAAGGTCTTTATGCTAAAATAAAAGGCAACTTACGATACAACGTGTTATCCAAGCCCTTTACTTAGATGTCTTTCTACTGCTTTTCAAATACGAAGCATCCTCGATTCAGAGCGTGTTGACTTCACGACTTCTGGGGTTCCAAATGTCATATTTGTGGACTTTTAGTCTTTCACAAACTCCGACTGTATAGACTATCTGAAGACAGGTCAGTTGCCCAAACTACAATATGCTATCGGATATCTAATAGATGGAATAATGATAAGAAGCCCTTCAACTTCACGTTTAAATCACGAAACCATTATTTGGCGAATGCAGAAATCGTTACCACTAACTTATGCCAGCCACATGGAGTAGTTTTTAGCGTTAATCATTCAAATCGCCTACTTGTCTACATCAACGTCTATATAATCAGTACTATTTTGGGACATTTAAGGAACAATCGGTTGATGAGCACAAAATCGCCGGACTATCTAATTGTACATCGGTCTACGCCGTGTACTTTTAGTCATGAATCTTCCATATTACTAGTAAAAATATGGAGTGCTTAAATCGCCGGTACACTTGAAGTATTTACCATCTTGGTCAGTTCACTAAGTCGATGTTTTTGTCAGATTTTTGATCCGGTTGGAAATAAGGTTAAATATACACTGTTGTTGTCCACCATTGTGATAAGTGATTGAATGCTCGAACAACACATGCAAGATTCATTCAAATAGCTAACAGCAATCGAAGCAGTATTCATGAAGTTTATGGAACGGTGAAGTTATAGAATAAAGATTTGTGGATGAATCTCATCACATGCGTAGTTTAAATTTTAATCGACCAATTCGATAGGATATTGATTTTCAAGTTCTTCACTCTGATTTCAGCTAAATACGGTGGTTCACCAGAGAATCGAAACTTTTATGACTTGTGTTTAAGCCAGTCACATTAACTTAAGGTCCCTCAAAAAGCTTAGTTAAGTCCTATTTATACCTTTTAAACTGAAAAAGATTTTCCCATCACCACTCATTTTTAACAAATAGGAAAGTCTATAAATCTACTAACGTAGTTTGAAGAGTTGTGGACTTTTGAGGTTTTTTTTTAGCTAGCAACCTCATGCACAAATACTGATACAAATGAGCACCAAAATAAGTTTGCGACACACAAATAAAAGAATAAAGTTGTAAAGAATGATAGAATACAGTCAGAAATACTTGGTATTAAAAACAAGTGGACGAGAATAGTGTACGGAAGGAGACACAATTCAGTTAGAAGTACAATCAAAAGAACTTTCATTTAAGTAAACCTGTCGATTTTGCAAAAAACGTAGGAAGAAACTACGTCAGCATGCCAATGACTGCTGTCTTAATTCGTACCTAATAACTTCTCAGGATACTCAAATGCATCATCTTCAGCCAAGAAATCATGATGGGTCGGATTATTCATTAATAAACGCCTGTCTGGTTTTCAAACCATGCCCACTAATACGTTTTTTTAAAGGGAATTCTTCCAGGGGGTCTGAAAACATGGAAGTTTTAATTTATCGTCGTAATTCTCCTTTTTCTTCAAATATTCTTTGACTTGAATCATTTCGACTCTCCGATAGTACCTTTGATGTAAAACTTCCTACGTTTGGCTTGACAAATTTACATCCGGATATTCTACTTCATGTCAGGACCCGTACTCTACGATTAAGTGGATTTCTCATAACTAGACGGCTACAACTCGTTTTGTGCTCACAAATCATATGTCCTAGATTTATATTAGCATATTTTGACTTAATAGGGATTAGTTAATACGTCTACGCCTCGCGACCATATGCATAACTTAAGGTAGGTGTGTGGTTTTTCTTATACTCAAGATGGTTCTCAGAGAGTCATCTCAGGAACTTAATTCAAAAACCTATAACACATTCGGAACTACGTCTATCAACTACTCCACAGAGTGACCGACTACTAAACTTATCAAAATTGAGAAAGGTTCAGTTGTATCAGCAGTTTATAAGTGTAAAACAAGCAAAACGTGCTACAAATTCAATGTTTAACTCGAGTGCTTTCAACAAACAAAGCAGGTTTCTGACTGTCAACTCATCGGATGAGCATCGGCTACTAAACCACCGAATAACAAGCTATAGTCAGTACAGTTATAAGCTCTGTCGGCACTTCGTTTCCCATAGTTAGGTTCCCAAATTCTGCGAGAATCATATGTAATACATATAATTTTCCACAGACAGCATGTTTCCGTTCGAATGGAATATTACATTACTGAATCTCTTTATTATTGTCCACTGAAGATGATTTGTAGTATTTCTTTTGTACCGTGATAACATATTTCTTGAAATGGCCTTTTTATTTTGTTGATTGTTCGGTTTTTCCCATTTGATCAACATTCTTGGACTGCAGTGCATTTCTTTGCCACTCATACAGTAGGAAAAACCTGTCCAGTTTAAAGTACTTTTAATAAGAACTCAAGTGACATCAACAAATAATCAAATTCCTGAATGAGGTCTTTCAGTCAATGAATGATAAAAGTTAATTGTCTAACAAAAATATTGCATTTGCAACACTGAGAAATGTGTTCTCTTCCAAATGTCAACATTGACTAAATTTATTTAGCCTTATATTTCCAACTTGATGATTTTACGATATAAATTATTTGTAAAATGCGACTACTTCGAGTTCATTTTTCATATCTAAGATCCTAAATGGAGGTGCAATAGTGTTACTAGTCTCTGCAAGTTCAGTGGTATTTTGTCTCCGTTTATTCGGTGTATTCAAATTGCTTCTGAGCATCGTTCTTAAGCTGCAAGCGGAAAAGAAACACTGATGCCAATGAAATTCACATAGTGTGCTCTCAAATTCGTCTACATTTGTCAACTGCTGTGATTAGTAGTTGTCTGTTTATTTAGTTTTGATTCATTTGTGTGGCTTTACTGAAGAAACTTGAACCATTGTAAAGTAATTAGTATTCGCTTATTAGCTTTTTTTTAATGTCATGTAGCTAAATGACTTGTTTGTATCTATTTGGATACCACAAAACTGAAAAAATACTAACTTAATAATCTCACGTGATTATAATTTCGAGTCGACACGCAACATTGTGTATTACTTGGTCCTGTCATTCTGTAATGGATTCGGGACAACAACAAGACCGTTTTACTTAACACAAAACCACGCTCACCCACGAAGGAATCAAATAATGTACTTTTTTGGAAGGCTACTTGTTCGGATAAGAGGGAAGTTCATTTGCTAAGCGAGATAAGTCAATAACTGACACATGAGGACTGAGTGACTGATGGTCGCACTTTAATAAAGTACATCAGGCGATTATCAATATTTTGACTAGTTCACTACCTTAACGTCCATTTGACTTCCAGTGCATTTCAGTCGCACTAGTTAATTCTCTCATTTGGCTTTTGCTCAGCATTAGTATTTAGTTTTATTGTGTACGAGTTTGACGATTTCTTTAGCCAACAGTTACTGAATGCAATCTGTATATAATGGAATAAATGCAAACATGAATCAGTCTCCCTTTGTTTGTACCAAATAAATCTTTCTGATAGATTCGCCTTTTGGAGTAGTTGGATATAGGAGAGAACAAAGTTGTGATATTAGTGTATCAAAGTGCATTAAAAAATTACCGTCGATATCACATATATGTCTTTTACATGGTCAGTTTTTCACTAGTTGATTATATGAAGTAATAATAATTGGTTATGATTATCTAAGTAGTACTGATTTTTAATACTCGAATGGGAAACCTATCTATTGGTGTACAGCCATGATGAGCATCTAAAAATGAGATATTTCACTCAACTTATATTTCCTTTTATGTCTGAATATGAATACTTAATTTATTACAAAAATCAGTTATATTGCTGGTATGAATTGAATTTATCTTATTAACTGAATACTCATGTGCAGTGGCGCTTCCCGCTGATTGCTTTTGTCAAGCTGTTCTATCCTCTTTTAGCATTTCACATATTGCCTTGAAATTTGACTAGGACTTGTTTTAGAGCCTGGTATAATATCCCATAGTAATTCAGCAAATAAGTGGTGCCGAAATCCTGAAGTGTAATGTCTGTTTTTTGAAAAAGTTTATCTAATGAAAATATGCAAAAGTATATCTCACGACTAATCAAATCAGACAGTTTTTTGACCAATTAAGTGTCAGTTTTTTGTTCCCGGGCTCTACTAGTTAAAATAGCTAGGGATTACTATACAGTAATAGGGATTTGTTGAAGTGATCTACTAAGGGACCAAAAAATGATATACCAATATTGTTTTTCCTACTGATAAGAGAGGTATTCGATGAGTCGAGACTTGAATGTAGTTAGATATAGTATCTATGTACCTGGGAAATTCTATGGTTGCAATGACTGCTATTAACTTTGGAAAGT